CTGTGCCAGGCTAGGTGCAGGAGGAGGTCACGGGACAGACCCAGCAGGTGCTGTGGGTTGACTGCTGTGCCAGGCTAGGTGCAGGAGGAGGTCACGGGACAGACCCAGCAGGTGCCATGGGTTGACTGCTGTGCCAGGCTAGGTGCAGGAGGAGGTCACGTGACAGACCCAGCAGGTGCCATGGGTTGACTGCTGTGCCAGGCTAGGTGCAGGAGGAGGTCACGGGACAGGCCCAGCAGTTGCCATGGGTTGACTGCTGTGCCAGGCTAGGTGCAGGAGGAGGTCACGGGACAGGCCCAGCAGGTGCCATGGGTTGACTGCTGTGCCAGGCTAGGTGCAGGAGGAGGTCACGTGACAGGCCCAGCAGTTGCCATGGGTTGACTGCTGTGCCAGGCTAGGTGCAGGAGGAGGTCACGTGACAGGCCCAGCAGTTGCCATGGGTTGACTGCTGTGCCAGGCTAGGTGCAGGAGGAGGTGACGAGACAGGCCCAGCAGTTGCCATGGGTTGACTGCTGTGCCAGGCTAGGTACAGGAGGAGGTCACGAGACAGGCCCAGCAGTTGCCATGGGTTGACTGCTGTGCCAGGCTAGGTGCAGGAGGAGGTCACGTGACAGGCCCAGCAGTTGCCATGGGTTGACTGTTGTGCCAGGCTAGGTGCAGGAGGAGGAGGTCACGGGGCAGACCCAGCAGGTGCCATGGGTTGACTGCTGTGCCAGGCTAGGTGCAGGAGGAGGTCACGGGACAGACCCAGCAGGTGCCATGGGTTGACTGCTGTGCCAGGCTAGGTGCAGGAGGAGGTCACGGGACAGGCCCAGCAGGTGCCATGGGTTGACTGCTGTGCCAGGCTTGGTGCATCTGACGACAAACATCTGGGCAGTTCACCAGCGTTGGTTCAAGCAGAGCCTGTCTCTGCTTCTGCTGATGAGACACGAAGCTGGGCAGACTCCAAATACACAGCAGCAGCAGCAGGCATCGTCAGGGTCGGGATCGAACCCAAAACCTCCTGTATACCAGGCGAGGTAGTCAACATCTCCTAGCCAACTGTGTTGATGATGAGAGAGAGAGAGAGATGCAGACTTCAAATATACAGCAGCAGCAGGCATCGTCAGGGTCGGGATGGAACCCACGACCTCCTGTATACCAGGCGAGGTAGTTAACATCTCCTAGCCACTGTGGTGATGATGATGAGAGAGAGACGCAGACTCCAAATATACAACAGCAGGCATCGTCAGGGTCGGGATCGAACCCACGACCAACTGCGTAACCAGGCGAGGTAGTCAACATCTCATCAGGGTCGGAATTTAACCCACGACCTCCTGTGTACCAGGCGAGGTAGTTAACATCTCATCAGGATCGGAATTTAACACACGACCTCCTGTGTACCAGGCGAGGTAGTCAACATCTAACCAAGGTCATAATTTAACCCACGACCTCCTGTGTACCAGGCGAGGTAGTCAACATCTCACCAGGGTCGGAATTTAACCCACGACCTCCTGTGTACCAGGCGAGGTAGTCAACATCTCATCAGGGTCAGAATTTAACCCACGACTTCCTGTGTCCCAGGCGAGGTAGTCAACATCTCACCAGGGTCGGAATTTAACCCACGACCTCCTGTGTACCAGGCCAGGTAATCAACATCTCACCAGGGTCAGAATTTAACCCACGACTTCCTGTGTACCAGGCGAGGTAGTTAGCATCTCACCAGGGTCGGAATTTAACCCACGACCCCCTGTGTACCAGGCGAGGTAGTCAACATCTGGACCCAAGTCACCTGAGACCCCAGGCAGCAGCATCTCGCCACAACAAACACAATTGCAGCGTTCTGTTGAGTCCGCTTATTTATTAGCAACAACAATCGATAAACAAACAATGGTCTAGATGTATATGTACACATTATTACATTATAACTTGTTCTTATCTCTATCCTAACTCTTCACACGTACACGTGGCTAGGCAGGCTCTAGTCCATTGTGTGGTGAGTGTGTGTGGTGAGTGTGGGTGGTGAGTGTGGGTGGTGAGTGCGGGTGGTGAGTACGGGTGGTGAGTGTGGTGAGTGTGGGTGATGAGTGTGTGTGGTGAGTGCGGGTGGTGAGTGCGGGTGGTGAGTACGGGTGGTGAGTGTGGTGAGTGTGGGTGATGAGTGTGTGTGGTGAGTGTGGTGGGTGAGTGTGGGTGGTGAGTGTGGGTGGTGAGTGAGTGTGGTGAGTGTGGTGAGTGTGGTGGGTGATTGTGGGTGGTGAGTGTGGGTGGTGAGTGTGGGTGGTGAGTGTGGGTGGTGAGTGTGTGGTGAGTGCGGTGAGTGTGGGCGGTGAGTGTGGGCGGTGAGTGTGGGCGGTGAGTGTGGGCGGTGAGTGAGTGTGGTGAGTGTGTGTGGTGAGTGTGTGTGGTGAGTGTGTGGTGAGTGCGGTGAGTGTGGGTGGTGAGTGTGGGTGGTGAGTGTGGGTGGTGAGTGTGGGTGGTGAGTGTGGTGAGTGTGGGTAGTGTGAGTGGTGAGTGTGTGGTGAGTGTGGGTGGTGAGTGTGTGTGGTTAGTGTGTGTGGTTAGTGTGGGTGGTGAGTGTGTGTGGTGAGTGTGGTGAGTGTGGGTGGTGAGTGGGTGGTGAGTGTGTGTGTGGTGTGTGTGTGTGGTGAGTGAGTGTGGTGAGTGTGGGTGGTGAGTGTGGTGAGTGTGGGTGGTGAGTATGTGTGGTGAGTGTGGGTGGTGAGTGTGGGTGGTCAGTGTGGGTGGTGAGTGTGGGTGGTGAGTGTGGTAAGTGTGGGTGGTGTGGTGAGTGTGAGTGGTGAGTGTGTGTGGTGTGAGTGTGTTGAGTGTGGGTGGTGAGTGTGGGTGGTGAGTGTGGTCAGTGTGGGTGGTGTGGTGAGTGTGAGTGGTGAGTGTGTGTGGTGTGAGTGTGGTGAGTGTGGGTGGTGAGTGTGGCTGGTGAGTGTGGGTGGTGAGTGTGGGTGGTGAGTGTGGGTGGTGAGTGTGGTAAGTGTGGGTGGTGAGTGTGGGTGGTGAGTGTGGGTGGTGAGTGTGGTCAGTGTGGGTGGTGTGGTGAGTGTGAGTGGTGAGTGTGTGTGGTGTGAGTGTGGTGAGTGTGGGTGGTGAGTGTGGCTGGTGAGTGTGGGTGGTGAGTGTGGGTGGTGAGTGTGGGTGGTGAGTGTGGTAAGTGTGGGTGGTGAGTGTGGGTGGTGAGTGTGGGTGGTGAGTGTGGTCAGTGTGGGTGGTGTGGTGAGTGTGAGTGGTGAGTGTGTGTGGTGTGAGTGTGGTGAGTGTGGGTGGTGAGTGTGGCTGGTGAGTGTGGGTGGTGAGTGTGGGTGGTGAGTGTGGGTGGTGAGTGTGGTAAGTGTGGGCGGTGAGTGTGGGTGGTGAGTGTGGGTTGTGAGTGTGGGTGGTGAGTGTGGGTGATGACTGTGGGTGGTGAGTGTGGTGAGTGTGGGTGGTGAGTGTGGGTGATGAGTGTGGGTGGTGAGTGTGGGTGGTGAGTGTGGGTGATGAGTGTGGGTGGTGAGTGTGGTGAGTGAGTGTGGTGAGTGTGTGGTGAGTGTGGGTGGTGAGTGTGGGTGGTGAGTGTGTGTGTGGTGTGTGTGTGTAGTGAGTGTGGGTGGTGAGTGTGTGTGGTGAGTGTGTGTGGTGAGTGTGGGTGGTGAGTGTGGGTGGTGAGTGTGGGTGGTGAGTGTGGGTGGTGAGTGTGTGTGGTGAGTGTGGTGAGTGAGTGTGGTGAGTGTGGGTGGTGAGTGTGGTGAGTGTGGGTGGTGAGTGTGGGTGGTGAGTGTGGGTGGTGAGTGAGTGTGTGATGCTGACGACGATGATGACAATGATGTTGATGATGATGACGATGATGACGATGACGACGATGATGACGATGACGATGATGACGATGATGATGACGATGATGATGGGAGCTTCTTCTCTGGCTCCGCTCTGTGGAGAGAGAGAGGCAGCAGCACCACAGCAGCGCATCATCATCATCATCAACGTCATCATCATCATCGTCATCATCATCATCATTGTCATCATCGTCGTCATCATCGTCGTCGTCATCGTCATCATCATCATCATCGTCGTCGTCATCCTCATCGTCATCTTCATCGTCAGCATCGTCATCATCAGACCCACAGAGACCCATACTCATACAGACCCATAGAGATCTACAGAGACCGATACTCATAGAGTCCCATACTCATACAGACCCATACAGACCCACCGAGACCCATAATCACAGAGACCCATAGATCCATAGACCCACAGAGATCCATAGACTCACAGAGACCCACAGAGACTCACAGAGACCCACAGAGACTCACAGAGACCCACAGAGACCCACAGAGACCCACAGACCCACAGAGACCCACAGAGACCCATAAGCTCACAGAGACCCATAGACTCACAGAGACCCATAGACCCACAGAGACCCATAGATCCACAGAGACCCATAGACCCACAGAGACCCATAGACTCACAGAGACCCACAGAGACTCACAGAGACCCACAGAGACCCACAGAGACCCATAGACCCACAGAGACCCATAGACTCACAGAGACCCACAGAGACTCACAGAGACCCACAGAGACTCACAGAGACCCACAGAGACCCACAGAGACCCACGTAGACCAGAAGTGACTTGGCCATCTCAGCTGATAGCCGAATCAAGTTGGCTGATAACATCATCATCATCATCTGATAACATCGTCATCATCATCTGCATCGCGTGGACATTCATAGAGGCAGTCAAACACTCGAAGTGCGTGACGCCGATTCTAAACGTGGAGGGGAAAATCTGGAGGACCCTGAGAAGAATCCACGCAGTGACCACCACGGGGACAGAAACACAGACTGCAGATATACAGCAGCAGCAGCAGGCATCGTCAGGGTCGGGATGGAACCCACGACCTCCTGCGTACCAGGCGAGGTAGTCAACATCTCGTCAGGGTCGTGATCGAACCCACGACCTCCTGCGTACCAGGCGAGGTAGTTAACATCTCATCAGGGTCGGGATCGAACCCACGACCTCCTGCGTACCAGGCGAGTTAATTAACATCTCATCAGGGTCGGGATCGAACCCACGACCTCCTGCGTACCAGGCGAGGTACACAGAGAGAGGCTCACCGTGGCTCAGCAGCTGCAGAGCCCTGCACTGGAGTGCTGCTGCTGCTGATGGTGGTGGTGGTGGTTGCCCGGGTGGTGGTGGCCTGGGTGGTGGTGGTGGGGGTAGCCCTGATGGTGGTGGTGGTCTCTCTGGTGGTGGGGTTGGCCCTAATGGTGGTGGTGGTGGTGGTGGCCCGGATGGTGGTGGCCCTGGTAGTGGTGGTGGTTTGTAGCCAGCTGTGAGCCAGCGCCTGTTCAGGCGTCATGCGGAGATTGGGATCCCATCTGGTGGTGGGAGGAGGAGGAGGAGAGGCACACCACGTGGTGGACAGGGGCAAGGTGAGCAGATGTGACAGGGTGGGAGGTGGGGGGAGAGTGGAAAGATGGTAGCGTGGGTGGGGGGTAGAGATGGAGAGGGGGGGAGGGAGATGGTGGGTGGGTGGTGGGGGGGGGTAGAGATGGAGGGGGGGAGGGAGATGGTGGGTGGGTGGGTGGTGGGGGGTAGAGATGGAGGGGGGGAGGGAGATGGTGGGTGGGTGGTGGGGGGTAGAGATGGAGAGGGTGGGAGGGAGATGGTGGGTGGGTGGTGGGGGGTAGAGATGGAGGGGGGGAGGGAGATGGTGGGTGGGTGGTGGGGGGTAGAGATGGAGAGGGTGGGAGGGAGATGGTGGGTGGGTGGTGGGGGGGTAGAGATGGAGGGGGAGAGCGAGATGGTGGGTGGGTGGTGGGGGGTAGAGATGGAGAGGGTGGGAGGGAGATGGTGGTGGGTGGTGGGGGGTAGAGATGGAGGGGGGGAGCGAGATGGTGGGTGGGTGGTGGGGGGTAGAGATGGAGAGGGGGGAGGGAGATGGTGGGTGGGTGGGTGGTGGGGGTAGAGATGGAGAGGGTGGGAGGGAGATGGTGGGTGGGTGGTGGGGGGTAGAGATGGAGGGGGAGAGCGAGATGGTGGGTGGGTGGTGGGGGGTAGAGATGGAGAGGGTGGGAGGGAGTGGTGGTGTGGGTGGGGGTAGAAATGGAGAGTGGGGGAGATGGTGGGGGTGGTGGGGGTAGAGATGGAGAGGGGGGAGGAGATGGTGGGTGGGTGGTGGGGGGTAGAGATGGAGAGGGGGGGAGGGAGATGGTGGGTGGGTGGTGGGGGGGGTAGAGATGGAGAGGGGGGGAGCGGAGATGGTGGGTGGGTGGTGGGGGGGTAGAGATGGAGAGGGGGGAGGGAGATGGTGGGTGGGTGGTGGGGGGTAGAGATGGAGAGGGGGGGAGGGAGATGGTGGGTGGTGGGGGGGGGTAGAGATGGAGAGGGGGGGAGGGAGATGGTGGGTGGGTGGTGGGGGGTAGAGATGGAGAGGGTGGGGAGGGAGATGGTGGGTGGGTGGTGGGGGGTAGAGATGGAGGGGGGGAGGGAGATGGTGGGTGGGTGGTGGGGGGTAGAGATGGAGAGGGTGGGGAGGGAGATGGTGGATGGGTGGTGGGGGGTAGAGATGGAGAGGGGGGGAGGGAGATGGTGGGTGGGTGGTGGGGGGTAGAGATGGAGAGGGTGGGAGGGAGATGGTGGGTGGGTGGTGGGGGGTAGAGATGGAGAGGGGGGGAGGGAGATGGTGGGTGGGTGGGTGGTGGGGGGTAGAGATGGAGAGGGGGGGAGGGAGATGGTGGGTGGGTGGTGGGGGGTAGAGATGGAGAGGGGGGGAGGGAGATGGTGGGTGGGTGGTGGGGGGTAGAGATGGAGGGTGGGAGGGAGATGGTGGCGTGGGTGGTGGGGGGTAGAGATGGAGAGGGGGGGAGGGAGATGGTGGGTGGGTGGTGGGGGGTAGAGATGCAGAGGGTGGGAGGGAGATGGTGGGTGGGTGGGGGGTAGAGATGGAGGGTGGGAGGGAGATGGTGGCGTGGGTGGTGGGGGGTAGAGATGGAGAGGGGGGGAAGGAGTGGTGGTGGGTAGTGAGTGGGTAGTGAGTGGGTGGCAGGACTGTCAATCCGCACGGTTTATTCCGTGTTCTTGTGCAGGGAGATTGAGTTGTCAGGTCAGTACGGAGAGCGGCCGTTTCAATGCTGGGTAATAAAAAATTAACCCGTAAAACCAAAGTTTTTCACTATAAATCCTTTATATGCGTGGCATCGGTTTTATTGTATTATTCATTTCTGTTTTTCTTGAGTAAGAGTTTTATTTTTTTCACATTGGTATTTTAAATTAAATATGAAAAAAATATGTCCTAAAAAGTGTAAAATTTTGGAGAAAAATTTTTTTTCACGAAAATAAATTGTCACGCACAACGAGTCTGTGTGCAAAATGTCAGCTCGATTGGATCACGGGAAGTGGGTTAAAAAACGACCGAAAATTTTGCACGGTCGTAGGCAAGCAAGCAAGTGAGCTTAATATAAAGGATTTAAAAACATTTTTGTCTATTTGTTTGTGTTTGTTCCTTGTGATGGGACTTTGGAGGATGTACGTTCAGATGTATCAGGGTCACTGAGTGATCAATAAAGGTCTGAGTTGGGTCTGTAGTAAGGTAGGACACTGATAAGGTGTAGACAGGTGTGGGGTGGTGAGTGGGGATGAGTGAGTGGGGGTGAGTGAGTGAGTGGTGTGAGGATGAGTGCGTGGGGGTGCGTGAGTGAGTGGGGATGAGTGAGTGAGTGAGTGGGGGTGAGTGAGTGAGTGGGGGTGAGTGAGTGAGTGTGTGGGGATGAGTGAGTGGGGATGAGTGAGTGAGTGAGTGGGGGTGAGTGAGTGAGTGTGTGGGGATGAGTGAGTGGGGATGAGTGAGTGAGTGGGGGTGAGTGAGTGAGTGAGTGGGGGTGAGTGAGTGAGTGAGTGGGGATGAGCGAGTGGGAGCGAGTGAGTGAGTGAGTGGGGGCGAGTGAGTGAGTTGGGATGAGTGAGTGGGGATGAGTGAGTGAGTGGGGGTGAGTGAGTGAGTGTGTGGGGATGAGTGAGTGGGGATGAGTGAGTGAGTGAGTGGGGATGAGCGAGTGGGAGCGAGTGAGTGAGTGAGTGGGGGCGAGTGAAAGTGTGGGGATGAGTGAGTGGGGATGAGTGAGTGAGTGGGGGTGAGTGAGTGAGTGTGTGGGGATGAGTGAGTGGGGATGAGTGAGTGAGTGAGTGGGGGTGAGTGAGTGAGTGAGAGCGAGTGAGTGAGTGGGGATGAGCGAGTGGGAGCGAGTGAGTGAGTGAGTGGGGGCGAGTGAGTGAGTGAGTGGGGGTGAGTGAGTGAGTGAGTGAGTGGGGATGAGCGAGTGGGAGCGAGTGAGTGAGTGGGGGCGAGTGAGTGAGTGGGGATGAGTGAGTGAGTGAGTGGGGGCGAGTGAGTGAGTGGGGGCGAGTGAGTGAGTGGAGATGAGTGAGTGAGTGGGGATGAGTGAGTGGGGATGAGTGAGTGAGTGAGTGGGGGTGAGTGAGTGAGTGAGTGGGGGTGAGTGAGTGAGTGTGTGGGGATGAGTGAGTGGGGATGAGTGAGTGAGTGAGTGGGGTGAGTGAGTGAGTGAGTGGGGGTGAGTGAGTGAGTGAGTGGGGGTGAGTGAGTGAGTGAGTGGGGATGAGCGAGTGGGAGCGAGTGAGTGGGGGTGAGTGAGTGGGGATGAGTGAGTGGGGATGAGTGAGTGAGTGAGTGAGTGGGGATGAGTGAGTGAGTGAGTGGGGATGAGTGAGTGAGTGGGGATGAGTGAGTGAGTGAGTGAGTGGGGGTGAGTGAGTGAGTGAGTGGGGATGAGTGAGTGAGTGAGTGGGGTTGAGTGAGTGAGTGAGCGGGGATGAGTGAGTGGGGTGAGTGGGTGAGTGAGTGGGGATGAGTGGGTGAGTGAGTGAGTGAGTGAGTGAGTGGGGATGAGTGGGTGAGTGAGTGGGGGCGAGTGAGTGAGTGAGTGAGTGGGGATGAGTGGGTGAGTGAGTGGGGGCGAGTGAGTGAGTGGAGATGAGTGAGTGAGTGGGGATGAGTGAGTGAGTGAGTGAGTGGGGGCGAGTGAGTGAGTGGAGATGAGTGAGTGAGTGGGGATGAGTGAGTGAGTGAGTGGGGGCGAGTGAGTGAGTGGAGATGAGTGAGTGAGTGAGTGAGTGGGGATGAGCGAGTGAGTGAGTGAGTGGGGGCGAGTGAGTGAGTGGGGGCGAGTGAGTGAGTGGAGATGAGTGAGTGAGTGGGGATGAGTGAGTGGGGATGAGTGAGTGAGTGAGTGGGGATGAGTGAGTGAGTGGGGGTGAGTGAGTGAGTGAGTGGGGGTGAGCGAGGGTGAGTGAGGGTGAGTGGAGGTGAGCGAGGGGTGAGTGTGGTTCGTACTGCAGGCAGCGGCTGACAAAGTCCACCAGCTGAGGGTGGTGTCCCTGCAGTGCGCGGTGCAGGGACAGGCTGCCTGGTGGACGCTGCATTGACACGTTGTAGGGGAGACCCTCAGGGTCTGCAGAGAGACAGAGACGCACGCAAAGTCACCCGCCAGCATGTCGCCCACATACCCACTCAGCCACTTGACTACCCACCTTCATATACACCTACATACCAACTCACTCACCCACCCACTCAACTACACAGCCACTATCTCACTCACTCACCCACCCACTCCCCTACCTACTCACCTACCCAACCACTCACCCACCCACTCACCCACCCACTCACCCACCCACTCAGTCACCCGCCCACTCACCCACCCACTCACCCACCCACTCACTCACCCGCCCACTCACCCACCCACTCACTCACCTACCCAACCACTCACTTACAAACCCACCCACTCACCCACCCACTCAAACATCCACTCACCCACCCACTCACCTACCCACCCACTCACCCACCCACTCACCTACCTACTCACCTACCCAACAACTCACTCACCCACTCACTCACCCACACACTCACTCACCCACCCACTCACCTACCTACTCACCTACCCAACAACTCACTCACCCACCCACTCACTCACCCACCCACCCACTCACCCACCCGCTCACCCACCCACTCACCTACCCACCCACTCACCTACCCACCCACCTACCTGCTCACTCACACACCAGCCTGCCCGAGCCTTCGACTCACCAAAGTAGAGTGACCCATTTGGGGCTTCGTCCACCATCTTTGTCGGGGGCATGCCCAGGATCTGCACGTGGTTTCAGATGAAGACAAAAGGAGGAGGGGGAGGAGGGGGAGGAGGAGGGGAAGGAGGAGGAGGAGGGGGGGTTACAGCCGGTGTAGCCTCAGCGGGCCCATTGTGGCCGTGAGAGGGAATCAAATTCTATGAGGATGGGTCTCTGTGGGTCTGTATGGGTCTCTGTGGGTCTCTGTGGGTCTGTATGGGTCTCTACGAGTATGGGTCTCTGTGGGTCTGTATGGGTCTCTATGAGCATGGGTCTCTGTGGGTCTGTATGGGTCTCTGTGGGCCTGTATGGGTCTCTGTGGGTGAGTATGGGTCTTTGTGCAGACCAACAGAGACCCATAGAGACCTGCCTGCCCACCCACCATACCCACCCACCATACCCACCCACCATACCCACCCACCACACCCACCATACCCACCCACCATACCCACCCACCATACCCACCGTACCCACCATACCCACCCACCATACCCACCCACCGTACCCACCGTACTCACACCACCCACCATACCCACCATACCCACCCACCATACCCACCCACCATACCCACCATACCCACCCACCATACCCACCCACCACACCCACCATACCCACCCACCATACCCACCATACCCACCCACCACACCCACCATACCCACCACACCCACCACACCCACCGTTCCCACCCACAGCCCATACCTCGATGCAGCAGGGCAGGTGCTCTTCATATGTCCGTGAGTCAAAGAGATCCTTGCCGGTGGCCATCTCGGCCACGGTGCAGCCCAGCGCCCACATGTCCACAGCGCACGTGACCTGGTAGCCCAGCGGCAGCTCCGGGGACATGTAGGGCAACGTCCCACCCACGGTTTGGGCTGCACAACAACAACAACAACGACAACAACAACGACAATGAATATGAAGCAGAGGTCGTCCCGAATTGTCTTCACCAGAGGTACCGTGACCCCACCACTACCACTACCACCACCACCACTACCACCACTACCACTACCACCACTACCACCACTACCACTACCACCACTACCACCACTACCACCCAGAGGTCGCAAACGGGTTTTGATTCCGCACCAGGGTCGCAAACGGGTACCCGTACCCGGCCGTACCCGTACCCGACCGGGTATCGGGTAGGGTACGGGTATCGGGTACCCGGTTGCGACCTCTGATATGAAGTAGTCCCTCCGTCAACAGCGACGTGGGTTGAACAGGTTTCTTTTCGGTCGGTCAAACGCGTAGTCGGCTTCTGCTACCGATATTTCACGGCGAAGGCGAGTTTTTTTGGGTTGGACCGCGTACTCTGGCTGCCCGCCTGATGATGACGCTCGAATTGTAAACGTCGTAGTGGGTTTACATCTCCAGTACACCAGAGGTCGCAACCGGGTACCCGATACCCGTACCCTACCCGATACCCGGCTACCCGTACCCGGCCGGGTACGGGTACGGGGACCCGTTTGCGACCCTGGTGCGGCCGGGTACGGGTACGGGTAAGCCGTGAGTCACTGGGTGAGTCACCGTTTGTCACTCATTTCCCAACGTCTTGTCTCTTCTCACAATTCAAGTTCCTAGAATCAACCCACCCGCGCCTGCAACATGGCTTCATCCCAGGAGGTCGCAATCGGGTACCCAAAACCCGTACCCTACCCGATACCCGGCCGGGTACGGGTACAGCTGGGTACGAGTACCCATTTGCGACCCTGGTGCGGCCGGGTACGGGTACGGGTAGGGTACGGGTAGGGTACGGGTACGAGGATTAAGGAATCAAAACCCGTTTGCGACCTCTGCATCGCACCGGTTGGCGCTGTGCAAGTGGTCAATTGGAGCGTCCTGGTCACGTGACGCTGAACCTCACTGAGTGGCTGCGTCGGGTGGTGGCGGGTTTTGACGACACAACGTTGACATTGACGCGAGCTAACCCTGAAAAAATTAACCCGTAAAAACAAAGTTTTTCACTACAAATCCTTTATATGTGTAATGCGGGCGCGGGCGACCTCCCGGATGTGACGTCACGGAGAGGTGGAGTTAGGTGACGTGGGAGCAAGGTTAAGGTTCTTAAGGGAGGAGACCGGAAGAGGAAGGCAGAACGGGTGGGACTGGACCAGAGTAAGGCCACGTGGGCAAAGCCAGAAGGGGTGGCAGGGGCGGCCAGCGGTGGCCAGCTAAGGGAGCAGCCAGCGGAGCTGCGAGAGAAGACAGCGGTGGGGCTGCTGGAGAGAAGGCGGACGAGGAGCTGCGGTGAACACAGCCGGCGAGGCTGTGTGTGAGGGAGAGGCTACGAGAGCGACGAGAGGAGAGAGAGGCTGAGAGAACGACGAGAGGAGAAACTGCAGGAGAGCAGCCAGTGGGGGGCTGCGTGAGGGTGACAGCCAGCAAGGCTACGAGAGCAACAGGAGACCAACAGAGGAACTGTTGGCGTGACGGGGTTAACAGCAGTATCAGTGTCGGTATAGAAGTCTTATAGAAGGACAGCCGTGTGGGTTACGAGGAAGAACTGAATAAAGGACACCATGCCAGACTTCGTGGTCGAGTCCTTTATTACATTGGTGTCGGAAGTGCAACGGCATGTCGAAACAAGTGAGAAAGAAAAATGTTCCAGCGCCAGCATCGGCTTCTTCGTCCGAAGACGAAGACTTCCCTCCAAACATGGATCCTGCCGGGGTGGGAGAGGAGAGCCCTGCTGAAACGAGTGCGGGGACGGGAGTTGAAGATGTAGCCACAGTGTCAGGGCCGCCGACAACATCAGACGCTGATCTGCGATGGCTGCAGGTGGCGGAGCAACTGGAGACTCTCAAGGACGCCCTGGGCCAATTGTGTCATCTCGTCACCCCAAGGACGGCGACGGAGAGAGCGGAGAGTGCTCCACAGGCCGCCACGGTATCTTCACTCCCGGCGCCATTGACCACGCGGCAGGAGGCCGCCATCTTGCGCGTTCCGCGGCGGGAAACCGCCATCTTGACCACGCCGCGGTTCGACGCCATTTTGAATTTGCCTCCGGAGGAACCATCGGCGGAGGGCGGAGTAAAGCGAAGTCGGAGTCGCCATCTCACCACGGTCAAAGAATTCGCCATTGGGGGCGACTGGAGCGCTTTCGCCTGCAGATTTTTGGCGGCGGTCCGTTCTGCGAGATGGACCGATGCTGAGGCCTTAGACGTGTTGCCGACTCTTCTGGACGACGAATCTGTTCGTTTTTTTCGCTCCATTAAGGCCGAGAAGAAGAGGACATTATACGGAGTTTTTCAAGAAATGGCCGACGCCTACGAGCCACCTGACGACGCGCATCGGCGATTCGCTCAACGACAACGAGCGCCCGAGGAGTCGCCTGTGGCGTACAGGGGTGCAGTGCTTGATTTGGCTATGGCCGCGTATCCAGATACAACACCTGACCTGCTCGAGCCTCTCATCTTGGGCAAGATGCTCGAGCTGTCGAGGGATCTTGGGATTCCCATGCCGGTGTGCGGGCATGAGAAGCTCACCTCCCGGGCGGCGGCGAAATGTCTGGATGCACAATTCAACCTACGACGATGGAAACAAGTCGCGGCGTGGACAGGGGGGCCCGTCGCAGAGGGTGGCGCTCTGGGTTGGGACCCTACGAAGTCGGTATACGTGCCGGATGGGGGGGGCCCTCAGGAGCTGACGGCCGCCTCGGGGCCATGGTCAAGCCGCGGTGGACCGGCCTCTCGTGCTGCACCGCCGATACGAGGTCGGCGCGATGCAAGGCCTGCGCTTCGGCGCAACGACGCCGATTGTTTCCGCTGCGGACGGAGGGGCCACTACGCGAAGGACTGCTGGGCCCGCATCCCGGGTCCGCCACAACAGGAGGCCTCATCACCGGCCAAGCCGCCCAAGGATCCACCGAAACAGGCAAGTCGGCACGCACCAGACACCCGGCAAGGCTTTACACCTCACCCATCACCTTCGTTGTGCGGTCATAGTGTTGTTGTTAAAGAGAGACCTTCGACGGGGCCTTGTCGCTCTGTGACGCAGTGGCGCAAATTGGCACGGAGGGTTGTCGCGGCCGCTACGGGTTCGTCCACCGTGCCGGGGTCTATACAAGGGGTGGACGTGCGCATTTTGGTTGATTCCGGGGCGTCCGCGACTATTATTTCGGATGTCATTTTTCATCTGTTAGGCATTCCACCAGGGGCCGTGCGTCCGGTTTACGGGTCGTGCGTCGCTGCGAACGGGGGTAGTATGGGCATCGTGGGCCAGGTGGACGCTAAAATATCTATTGGGGATGTGTCGGCCTCGGGCGTTGTGTTGATTTCGAGATCCTTGGCAGTTCCTTGTTTATTGGGCACTGATTTTCTGGCTAAGATGCCTATTTTGATCAAAATTAATGAGAATTGTATTGAACTGCCGGGTGGCCGTCAAATTTCGTTTCTGCCGTCGCCCTGGGGGCGACCTGTTTCGGCCGTACAAGTGCAGGCGCTATCCGTGGCATCTGTTGACATTCCACCTGGTTCACAGATGCTTATTCCCCTGCGGTATCGGAAGCCCCTGCCTGGTCGGCTGGGAGCGGTTGGGATCTTGTTGTCACCTTCAGCCTCGATAACGGCCGGGTTGGTGCTGGTCGGAGCGCAGACCATCGTCCGGCCAGATCAATTACCGTTTTTGCAGGTGCTCAATGCGGGTACTGAAAATGTTTGCGTCCCGGCCAGCACGGTTGTGGCACATGCCACCACGGCATTTACGGCTCACGATTGTTCGCATAGCCAGGGAGTGGTTGCTGGTGTTTCCGAGCCTGTGGCTTCGGATGACCGCTGGATTGCTAGCTTACGTGACGGAAATTCTTCCCTGTCTGTGGATCAACGGGGTGCGCTTCACAAATTGTTATTGACGTATTCCGATGTGTTCAGCTCCAATGATTTGGATTTGGGACGCACCTCGTTGCTTCACCATCACATTGATACAGGCGACGCTGCCCCTATTCGGTTGAATTCGCACCGAATGAGTCCCGCCGAGCGAGAACACGTTCGGGGGGCAGTGGAGGATATGTTGGCTGCGGATATTATATCGCCGTCAAACAGCCCATGGGGCGCGCCTGTGGTTTTGGTTAAGAAAAAGGATGGCAAATTGCGATTCTGTGTTGACTTTCGAAAATTGAATAAGATATTGGTGGCAGATGCGTATCCCCTGCCGCGTATGGACGACTCCCTCGACGCATTGTCGGGGGCTAAGTTTTTCTCTACACTGGACCTCTCTTCGGGATTTTGGCAGCTTCCCCTTGACGAGCCCTCACGGGAGAAGACCGCATTCCGTACGCCGCAGGGGTTGTTTCAATTTAACTGCCTTCCGATGGGGCTGAATGCGGCCCCTGCCACATTTCAAAGGCTCATGGAGCTCGTTTTGACGGGGTTGCAGTGGGAGACATGTCTCATATATTTGGACGATATTATCGTCTTCAGCCGCACATTTGATGAACATTTAAGGCGGCTGGAGACGGTGTTCGCGAGGATGCGCTCCGCGAACTTGAAATTTAAACCAAAGAAATGTCACCTACTGCAACGGTCCGTCCGTTATTTGGGGCACATCGTGAGTGCTGAGGGGGTGTCTACGGACCCGGAAAAAACGGCGTGCGTCCGAGATTGGCCAACTCCGGCCACCGTGGGGGATGTACGTCGCTTTCTGGGATTTGCCTCGTATTATCGAAGATTTGTACCGAATTTTGCGACCATCGCGAGGCCCTTGCACCTCCTTACGGGTAAGGGACGTAAGTTTGCGTGGGGACCGCCAGAAGAGGCGGCCTTTCAGAGTCTGCGTAATCTGTTGGCTACCGCCCCAACATTGGATTATCCGGATTTCAATCAACCGTTCATTCTTGATACGGATGCGAGCGACACAG